AGTAGTTCCTGGAAAAAGTAGCGTAATTATGTTAATGACCAATGATGATGTCAACGATGCCACTTTTTTTCTATCTTCTCATTTTCATTCCCGCTTTTTTTAGTACTTTGTATTTTTTTTCTTGATCAAAAACAAAAATAGGAGAATCAAAGTTTACTGCTTCACTGAGTTTTCGAAAATTTTCAAAATCGCATCAAATTGAACTAGTTTCAATTTTGAACAATCTTTGATTGTTCCGGCCACTTGCGCAATTACCTGGAATGTTCTTTTTATGTACTTTATTTTATGGTGGGCCTCCCGGTTTTCCCTCCAAATTCCAATAATTTTCTCCTCGACCAACTGGTGTCCCAAACGGATGGCCCTATGATTTTTGAATGTTCTTTTTTTCATTAAAAGAAGAGTAAAACGAGGAGCCGATCAGTGTTCTTCTTCTTCTTCTTCCAACTTAGTCTCAATAAAACCAAATTGTTCTGTCTAGCGGAAAACCCAAAATCGTGGCAGTTTCCTGAGGCGGTGTTGAGTCAACGAAGAAATTGGAGTATAAAAAGTGTATAAAATGGATTCTCAACAGAGAAAGATTTTCGTTTCCTCAATGTTTGAAATGCTGGTTATAGTGGACAATTGGTTTTTTTGTCCATTTTTCTAAAAATTAGTTTTGAATATATGAACTTAAACATATTACAACATCATAAAGTTACTGTAGCTGAATGTTCTTTTTCTTTTATTTCAGAGTATGCGTTATTGACTTCCGGTCATTTTGACCATTTTGTGAATTCTGGAGCTCGGCTGTAAAGTTTCCTGATCACTTTGAAAATTTTGAAGAGTCTAAAACTGACATAGATTTAAAATTTTGCTTTCACAGAGTTTTTCAAAAATTCCTGGTTTCTCAGCTATTGGCCGATTTCTGAAAGACACCAATTTTTTGCCCTTTTTGTATTGAAAACCTGAAAAACAGGTGACTTCCAGAAATCGGCAAATAACTGAAAATCTATCTATTAAAAAATTATGGGAATGCAACATTTTTAATCTAGGTTTGTTTCAGACCCTACAGAATCTTTAAAGTTTCTGAAAACGTGACAGCCGAGCTCCACACTCATGAAAATAGTCAAGATAGCCAAAAATCAAACAGAAAAATTCATATTTGCATATCTTTGTTATCGGTACTGTATATAGACTACATTCATGTTCTAAGACCATAGTTGAATTGTGAAGTTACTGTAATTGTATTTTTTATTGATTTTAAGTTACGTGACTTTCATATTTTTTTTTCGAGTCAGGCCGGGTCTTTTTACAGAATTGTCTTGACTCGGGCTTCCATTTTTTCCAGTCTTCACATCAAATTCTCGGAGTCAATACAAAAGTCACAGAAATTTCCGCCACATTAAAAGTTTGCAAAATACGGAGCGTCGTAAAAACTTTTTTAACCAAAAACACTCAACAATTTTTAATGAGATTTCTGAAATTTGTTCAAGTGTGAAAAACCCGGGCCCATCGGGCCAAGCTTCGATCTTTCTAGTATGATATTATCTGAATAATCAAAAAATAAAATTCTAGCTCGACTTAGACCTCGAACCCATTCTTCCTTGATCTCTGCCAGTTTTTCAACGATTTCCTGGAATTCAGTTTAAAGGCTATCTCATAACTTTCATAACTCATTTTTAGTTTTCCTTGACTCTCCTTTATTTTTTTCTGCAAAAATGCTAACACATGACTCACTACCACGAGCTCAAAATTGCCCCATAATTTTTTTCGCGTCTACCGCCATCTGCAAAAAAACACTTCAACTTTCAACCGACCTGGTTTTTGAATTTTCTAGTTTCCGGTTGTGCTAAAAAGAGATGGCATTCGTTCTACTTTCTCCACATTTAAAGTACCTGAAGCCCATTCAAAACTCTCTATTCGATGATCGTTAGACTTGGTTTTCAAATAGAAAGATGAAAAGAACTCGGGTTTATTATCCTCGAAACCCCATTGTACAACAATGAAGAAGACCAGGGCGTTTTATCTCCATTCATCAGCGGTGTGGGATGGCGGAATGGTTTTTGTGTGAAGTTCCATTTGTTTGCCTCCCAGGAAAAAAGGTCATAGATTTAACGACACTGTTTAGAACTGCCTCCTGGAGAAGCAGCTCATTTGTCTTCCATTGTCTCTGTGCCAATCGGTGCAGGAACATGGCTTTGCAAAAAAAAATATGCAAAGGTCCCATTTTTTTTATTTTTAGTTCGATCTCCCTACTCCTCCGATGGTTTATGTTTCTACTCTGAGCCCTCAAGTCAATTCAAATACTCGAGTCAACCCCTCGTCACTTCTTTTTCGAGCAGCTATGTTTGACATTATTCGGAAGTGACTTGATCCTCACATCGTTCTTCTTAATACCTCAGTTGTCAAAAAAGACAAAAAAAAGAAAGAAGACGACGTAAGTCGTGTTTTACCTCGTTTCCTGAATATCTTCACGTTACGGACCAAAATGGACTGATGGGTTACGTCGATGTACACTGACATATTTGAGAAAAAACTTTTTCTCATCTAGAATGAGCCGTGGAAAATGTTTTTCTTCGTCTTTTTCTTCTTGCTTGTGCCATTTTAGTAAACATCCTTACCAGCAATATATAAAAAGCGATGATTTCATTCCTTCCTTTTCTTTTTTTTCTCTCTACTTCAATCTCATTTTTTACTACTCTAGAAAACTCTTCAGCTTCTCCTTGTTGACGTTAAACGATTCGTTGTTGCTCGTCGGAATGAAAAGTTCAAGTATTTTTGACCATAAGAAGGAAATAGCGAAAGGTTGAGAAATGACGTCGTCGAGATTCAGAACCCCTCCCACTTCTGGAGGAGGGACGACGATGGTGTTTGAGGCTTTTTACGCATTTCCTTCTGAACTTTTATTTTTGTTTCGGTTCGAGAAGGAAATTGACTTCCGGAGTGTTCAGTGATGACATGATGAGTTTCAGACAATGAACGTCATCTGAACAGAAAAACCTGTTTTTCTACGTGTTTAGATATAAGCACCTCCCAACTTGATTTATCAGTTTCGGATTAGAGAAAAAAATTGTCTCGTGGGAAACGCTCTCACTTTTTGACCATCATTTCTTATAAAATTATTTTTTTTGTGAATTTCTTTCGACCTAGTGAGAGTGAGGACAACAATTTTTGGTCTAATTAGGTATTAGAAGTACTGAGATATTAGGTTCGGGATATGTCAAACTCGAGGATCTTGTAATTATCTAACTGAAAATACAAAACTGCATTTGATTCCTTTTTCAAATAGGATGCATCTAGTGAGTCTTGCCCACTATTTGTTATTTTAAAAAATACTGTATTCCTTCTACCAGACCATTTACTTAATCTTTGACTCGAATCATCTAGATTTCTTCGAAAGGTATGGTATCAGAAACTTGTCAACTAATAAATCATTATTAGAGATAATTGAGATGTTATTTCTATTGTTGGCATGTGTGAATAACAAGAAATATGGTTTTTCTTAACCAAACAGTTAACCTTAAGCTGAGCTAACTCGATTCCTGTGAAATACATAAAAAATCTGTCAACTGTTAATTTTTTATCATGATATCAACAAGTTTCTATCAGTTGACAAACTTTCGATATCTTTCACAGGAATTGAGATAATTGAGTTCAAAGTCAACGGTTTCGGTGGGCTTACATAAGAGAAAATACGAATAGGCTTGTCAATCAGAACATTTTTTAAAGTTACTAAAATCATTTTTTAGAAATTGTGCAAACTAACTTAGACGAAAACCTTTAAATTGAATGGTTTCCAATATTATGAACTACAAAACTTGGTATCCTAGGACGAAAATGCCCCAAAGCTGAAACTACCGTAACCTGAGAACTTGCTTTTATCGTATACGTATCCTTTGAGCTCATTTATCTCGATTCATTCGGAATATATTAGAAAAATTTCATTGATAAGTTATTTATCATAAAATCACCAAATATTATCAGTTGACATATTTTTGACATCTCTCAAACGAGCCGAGATAATTTAGCTTAGAGTGAACGTAATGAGATGAGCTTCTCTTGGAAAAATATACTGTATTTTCATTTCACAGGCTTTCTTTTTTTCGCTAATTTTTTATTGTTATTTCCGAGTGAAGAAAATCTGAAGGAAAATTTTTAAAGCAAAAAATTTTCTGATGTTAAATACCATATTGACAGATTTCCAAATTGATGATTTCTCTGTTTTTTTTTTGTCATAAATGACCTACCTTCACTTTCAGTGAGCGGTGCACATCAAAAGAGATTATAATTCTTGACATATTTAGAGTTATTACCTCTGAACACATGACATTTTATCATATAGGGTGTCAAAAATGTGCTCATCATTTCGAATTTTTCATTTTTCGAACTGAAAACGGCTGATAACTATGGTGTTTCGCTGACGGCGGTTAGAGATGAAAATAAAAGAAGAGCAGTTTTCCGAAAACTCGTATCATATTACGAACCGAAACCTGAACAGATGCTAAGTAAATGCCTCTTCTTCGTCTTCCTCTCTGTCTGATTTCTGTTCATAAAGTAGTCTCCATCTCCCTTCAGCTTATTCCCATTGACGACCAAATGGACACACAGGTTGTCCCATTCCGCCCATGGAAGTAAAAGGCGCGCGCCCATATAAATGACCGTAATTTTCTAGTTAAACAGTTCTTCCTGCCCTCTCCCCCTCTCCCTCTCTCTCTCCCACCTGTTTCTCTCCCTTTTTTCCTCAATTATCTCCTTTAAATGACTTCCACCACGATTTCTGTCTTTTTCTACCACCTATTAACCCTCTCTGTGTGTTTTCTGAAGAATAGTCTACGACGCCCGATTCATTTCCGGTGTGCCGTCGTCGTGTATGTTCGAATCTTACGCATCGTTAGTGTGACCAACTTCGCCCGCCAACCCTTTGAAAATCATTTTCTCTCCTCTCGTTTTTAGGTAAACGTATGTTCAATTAAGCTGTCAAAATTTCGGACTTTAAGAAAGCAACGGAAAGTCTGGGTGGCATGGTTGCCACTTCGGTTGTTGTTCTCTTGCTTATGCAAGTCAGCGGAGCCGCTGGTGAGTTTTTCAAATTTAAAGACCATTTTACACTGAAAAGGACACGAAGGTATCAAGTGCGATTTTACGATTATGTTGGTCATAACTTTCACTTCTTTGTTTACTTCATGTACTATCAAAAAAGCACTAAAAATTTGAATTCTTTACAAAATCAAAGCAAAGAAACAAACAGACTGAAATTTGAACTTTTTATCTCCCTATAACTTAAAAGAATTCGGATTTTTAACATCCATATTTTTTAAAACCCTTTAAGTGCAATTTCAGTACAATCATGCCTTTTTCTTCCTAACGTCCACCTGGTCGGGGGTACTGTAGATGAATTTCCTGCTGATGAAATCACCGCCTGTTGTGTTGCCTGCTCCAACAGCCCATGCTGCATTGCCTATACTTTTGATTCTGTTAGAAAGAGGTGTTCAATCGAAAATTGTCCAAAACACGAAAAAAATTCCAGGTGTTTCATTAAGACTTCCATTGGACACTCACTGGAAGACTACACGATGACCAGTGGACTCAAGCAAACCTCTCGTAAAGGTAGATTTTTGAATTCTGTATGTTGAAAATCAAAATATCATTTTAGGATTCTTGGGAGTCACCTTGAAGAATACCAAAATTGTCGGTGACAATAGCAACCGTCTTCAATTGAGGTCTGAGGAGGAATGCAGGCAATATTGCCAGGGTAAGTTAATTTTTTCATATCAAAAAAAATAAATATGGTCAAAATTTTTTTATGTCTTCCTTACTTTAAAAATATTGATAAATGCGCTGTCTTCACATTTTTTGCATTAAGAAAATAAGAAGATTTTGAAAGTTGGAAAATGACATGTTCGGCTCAGAAAAGTTTTTTCAAACATGATTTTGCATGAATTGATGATTTTAGAAATTTTTTTCTCAAATCTCACATTTTTAATATACATTTACCCCTCGGTGTCATGAAGCACGTCAAATATCCTTTTAAAAAAACGCATTTTGCAGTTGATTTTTTTGAGCCGTTTTGACAATTTTCACAACTCTGGAGCTCGGCCGTTAAATTTACAATTACTTTGAAAAGTTCGGAGCGTGTAAAAAATATCTAGATTGACGGTTTCGTATTCACGGAAGTGTTTAAAAAATTTTTTCAGCTATTTGTCAATTTTTGAGAAAAAAAACCCCATTTAGACCCGTTTTCGTACTGATAATGTGAAAAAAAACTGGTGTTTTCAAGAAATTGCCCAGTACCTGAAATACTAGGAGTCTTTCAAAAATTGTTTAAATTTCAAGTTTTTATTTTAAGTTTGTTTCACACCCTCCAAATTTTTCAAAGAGATCGGAAACTTGACATTCGAGATCCAGACTCCTGAAAATGAGTCAAAATGACTTTAGTAGCCTTCGAATGTTTGAAAATTACAAGATGTCAACAGGTAAAAAGTCTTTAGATATTCAGTTTTTATAAATTCATGATTTTGATATTTCTCCGCTTGGATCTTACCGTCAGACGCATTTCTTATTTTTTGACTTTTTTTCAGGGCCATGAAATTATCTGAAATCCGGACAATACCGTGTTTTCAAGGTAGTATATCTCTTAATGTTTTGAAATTTCCAAGTTTCCACTGTTCCTATAATCTGTTATCAGCAGGAAACCGTTTTGAACCAGATTCACTTCTGATTCTTCATGTTCTTCTTTTTATCTCCTCCTGACACCCATTCTACAGAAATAAAAAAAAAGAAGAATTTTGTCATCGTTGGATGGTCGCATATAAAAACTTGGTCTAAAAAGCGATTCGCGTAGCAAAAGTAAACTTCCGACGAATGTAGTCGATCGTTTCAGAAAACCTGTCTCTCGCGCATTCCCTCTATTTTGCCTCAGAAAGAATTTTCTCTCTAATTGACGCCTTGGTTCCTCTTTAATCAAATAAACACCCATTTTGGTGGTGGCAGAGGATGTTGGGGTCTTGTAAAAAAGGAAAAACACCGGAAGTTGATTTTTTGAGGTTTCTTGATAAATCAATGAGTTATCAATAGAAAATCAGGCGAAAACCACGTTTTAAAAATAACAAACATTTCTGATTTTTGAAATACATCAATTTGTTTTTTCAGCTTATCAAGTGTTCTCTTATGGACCACAGAACGAGGATGGAGAACCAAGATCCGGAGAATGTGCTTGCACAATGCGTATCAAGTCCATCAGTTATCATTATGGAAGCACCGCCGAGATTAACCCATCTCAAGGATAATTGAACAATTAAAAAAATCCTCTTACCTTGATCTTCCAAACCCCTCGAAAATTTTAATTTCCTTTTTGCTTTAACACACAAAATTAGATCCCAGTACAGCTTTGAAACGCCACATACTCTCCCCGCTTCAAAACAAAATCAGTGCAAACATTTTTTTAAATTGTCATTTTTCTTCAAAATTTTTAATTGATATGTCTAACCTACAGTAAGGCTCTCTTCAAATTTTTCTGTAATTTGTGAAAAATGGAGTGTTTTTATCGTGAGTTGCAATTGTGAGAATGAATCGTTTCATTTTTCTGCATTTTGGACTGATGTGTTTCTGTAATCGTGTCGTGTAACTTCCGCACACAACCGCTAATGCGAATGGGTTCGTTTGGAATAAAAAGCAAAGAAGAAAGAACGAAATTCGTCTGATTCTGTTGACTTTGTAGATACCCACATTTTCGTTTACGGAAGGATATATATATATTTTTTTCAATCATTTGTTACTAAATCTCCATCAAAGTCAAAAACAATTGTCATATTTTCAAAGGTATCGTTGTTCTGCTAACTTAGCAAATTTTCAGGTTGATTGATTTTTTTCCTTAAAAAGTTTCAGTTCATTCAAAAAACCCCATTTCTCTTTTCATCGACGTTTTCTTGCAAAATGAACTAAACAATCGCGTTTCCCATCCTCGATTGCCCTTAAAACGACATTTTTCTCTCCCAAAACCGTCTTTAAAGGGCGACCGCGGCCGGGAATCGCTGTTGAATTGAAATGTGTTAAAGGTTATCTATTTTCCGAATATTATTGCGAAAAAATTCAAAAAAAATCCGAAATTTCCGAAAAACGGCGTTGAAAAGGAAGAAAATTCAAAAAAAGGTGCCGCCGGGGGACGAGGATTTTCAGTGAGAAACCTATGCCACGGCAGCGGGCGCCTTTCCTATGTGGCAAATTTTCCGGGTTTTTTTCAATTTCATGTTTGGCAGGTAAAAAACGTAAAAACCACTGTCGGCGACTTGAAAAAAAGGCTGTCAGGTGCCGTGGCCTAGGTTTCTCACTGAAAATCCTCGTCCCCCGGCGGCACTTTTTTTTGAATTATTTTCCTTTTCAACGCCGTTTTTCGGGGATTTCGGATTTTCTTTGAATTTTTTCGGAATAATATTTGAAAAATTGATAAATTTTAACACATTTTAATGCAATAAAAATTTTTGGTCGGAGTCCCCCTTTAAAGCATTTTTCTAGCTGTTCCATTTTAGCCTCTCTATCTCTGCTCTCTGCGTCTCTTGATTTTAGCACTCTCTCCCTCGGAGGGCCACGCAAAACATAGCGGGCGGCGGAACCCGGGAGATGTCGGCCGCTCGCTATGGGGCCCTTTTATAATCGCCGTCGTTTCTCACTGTGTTTGGGGGCCTGGCTGGCTGTCGCGGATAGCCAGCTTAGGCGGCGTATAGATCGGCCTGTGAGCCGAGACGCCAAGTTTGAGAACCATGTCAAAAAAAAAGAATAGCCGCAAGGCAAATTACTTTTTGAAAATTGTTTTGAGATCGAATTGATAACTTTTTCTGAAAATTGTAGTTTTATGTAATCAACTACTCTGAATCCAATGAAAATATTTAATTTTTCTGAATCGAAGTATCAACGGAGATATTGATAGAATATGCGTTAAAAACCGTAACATTGGCGTACAAAGACAAATTTTGCATAATACGATTGTGATTTTTTGAGTATCTGTTTTTACATTCAATGTATTACTAATACCGTGAACTCTGTGATTTAGAGGATGCCATACTGACAAATTCAACTAATTTTTTCTTGGTTTTTTTAAACATATCGAAAAGTGGTTTCTCAACAAAATTATAACCATTACTGTAACCGCTCTAATAGGATGCTACACTATTTGTAGACTTCCTGCTTAATTATCTCAATTTCTATGAGAGATAACAAAAAACTGTCAATTAATAAAATGTTTCTCATAATATAACCAATATTTTATTAATTAACAGAATTTTCATATATTTTGAAAACATTAGATAATTGAGTTCAAAGTACAAGTATAGGGTGGCTTTCTATTAGAGTGTTCACGGTACACTAGATTTTCTCAGAAAAAAAGTCATTTTAAAAACGGAAAATCAAAACCAAAGTTCAAAACGATATCGAATGAATTAAAAGATCGGAGGTAGCAAGCTGTAGCTTTTTCAGAGTTACAGTATCAATTCTGACGAGAAGATGTACAGTGATTAGTGTTCTAATTTAAAGTCGGATATTGAGACTTTTAGACCCCGCAACAAAACAATAGCAGACTCTTCTGTATCCTATTTCACAAAAACAAAGATAAAAAATAATCAATCAAAAATGACCGGAACATTCTGAACAACCTAATATCAAAAACATTTTGTCAGTTTATCAATTTTTAATTTTTTTTCTGACAGGAAACAACATTAATTTTAATCTCATTTTAATCTCTCTATCTCTGCTCTCTGCGTCTCTTGATTTTAGCACTCTCTCCCTCGGAGGGCCACGTAAAACATAGCGGGCGGCGGAACCCGGGAGATGTCGGCCGCTCGCTATGGGGCCCTTTTATAATCGCCGTCGTTTCTCACCGTGTTTGGGGGCCTGGCTGGCTGTCGCGGATAGCCAGCTTAGGCGGCGTATAGATCGGCCTGTGAGCCGAGACGCCAAGTTTGAGAACCATGTCAAAAAAAAAGAATAGCCGCAAGGCAAATTACTTTTTAAAAAATTTCAAGCTGCTCGATTTTTCTGAAATTTTGTAGTTTTATGTAATCGACTATTTTGAATTCAACGAAAATGTTCACATTTTTTTGAATCGTGATAATTCTAAGGAAAATAATTGTATTTTCGTTAAAACACAAAACATTGGTATACAAAACCGAACGATGTTCAATAAGATTGGGGTTTTGTTAAGCGTGTGTTTTTTTTAAACATTCAATTAGTTACTAATACCGTAAACTTTGTAATCTAGAGCCTGCGACACTTACAGCATCGACTTAATTTTTCTAAGTATTCAAAATCATTGAAAAATGCTCTATCAACAAAATTATTATCGTTATATTAAAAGGTCAAAAAAATATTGGATACATTAAACGATCGGAGACAAAACATTTTTCGGAGCATTTTGGGAGTTACGGTATGCATTCTGACACGTGACAGTGTGCAGTCATTAGCGTTCTAGTTTTATTTGAGTTACAACTATTTTACCCCTACCATACTAATAGAGCGAGATTCACTTTTTAACTTTGTTTTTCACATAGTTGATATGGACCATGGCTCGACTATTAAAAACACGACCAATTTACTTGAGTAGTACTGTAGGATCACTTTTTATTTTCCTTCACCTCCAAGATCTTTCAAGTGTTGACTGTCTGAGCACTTTTTTGATCAGATATTTGATATAAAACGAGCGAATGAAAAATGTCAAGTGTTTTTTCCTCGAAAGACGAGTGTTTTCTTATTTTTTTGGATACGGTAGCTGATTTATTCCAGTATAAAAGGCTTGTAATTTTTGAAAACAATTTTTTTGCTATATATTTCGCAATCCCTCCTCAATTCTCTTTTTCGGGAATCCCCCTTGTCGTGGAAATCTGCAGTCAAAACACAAATTTCCTTGACAAATCTCAATGATGATAAGTGAGTCACGATGATGCGATTGATACTGATTGATATGAGAAACTGACGTGAGTAGTGAAAATCTCGGTATCTCATTTTCCTACTGTATTTTGTGATGCAACTGATAACCAGCGTAGTATAAAAAGAAACTGTGGATGGGCAGATAGAATCAGAATAGCATGTGCTAACCAAAGCAGAGGAAACGAAACACCTGAAACAAAAGTTCCAAAGCAGAGGCCAAACATGTCTCGGTTTTATTCTTGTTGAAAACATTTCGATAGCGGAAATACTAATCACTCTATGTTAAAAATCAACCATCGAACTAATCTTCTAACTTTCGCTAACATCGTCACTGTCCAGTTTCAAAATCCTTGGTCACAATGCGTCCATTCGGCGCAAATGATGTCAGAACAAGGGCAAATTCCTGATCGGACCAAGAAGTGAACTACATTAAAGTCATTAAAGATGTCTTGCAAAAATTCCTAGTCTACAGTGACGCAGTAAAATCAAAGAATTTTTGAAAACTATTTGGCTTTTGATGTAGATTATCACACACCGGTCTTGGCATTTATAGCTTTCACGTGTGATTCACATTTTGGAAGCGGTGATTAGAAGTAGTTTAAATGTGTTTTTTCAAAGAAATAGTGATAAGAAAAATAGGTATACGGTTTTTGTTTAGGCCTAGGTGCAACTGATTTTTTGAACCATTTTTTTCGAACTGATATGATAAGACAAGTTTCAAGCCAGAATCCAAAACTTTTGTTAGTAGGTGGAATTCCCCTGAAATTTAAGATTTTTTGGCTCTCTCCGGTTAATATTGATGCTTAGCACATATTCTGGTTTTTAGATTTTATGGATCTTAGAATTTTTTGGTTGCCAGATTTTTTGATCCTAAAACTTTTGGGTTCTTAACTTTTTTGCTCAATCCTATCAGTTGTTTTTTTAAGTACTACCCATCATTTTTGCGACTATACTTAACGTACCTAGGTAATTCGCAACAGATCTTTAAACTCAAAATAACTGTTTTTCAGCAAGCCGTGGATTACTGTAGTTATTGAAAGAAAATTTAGTCATAGCGATATGAGCATAAGTGAAAACTTTCTGAGAAACTTTCCAAAAATTCCCAAATTGAACAGTCTCCGGGCTGATTTTTCAAAAATTAGGTTCTCAATTAGGTTCCTCAACTTTCAAATGATAACGTTTTCAAGTTTAGCTGAGCCTGTGTCAGTACTCGAACGTCGTTGGCAACTTCTGGTCGGAGTTTGGTCAGATTCTGGACCGCTACTTGAGCCGATTAAACAGAATTATGACAAGGTTGCGACCTAGTAGTATATCAACTTTCAACTTTCAACCAAGTTCTGACAATGACCCGCTCTACAGTAGGTTTTGGGCAAGTTCTAACTAGAAACTATTTATTTACGCATTCAATAAAAGGTACGGGACCTCACACACGTGTAAAATAAAATATTTGCAAACTTCATTGCCACTATTCGTCCAAAACACGAACCCCCTTAACTTTTGTCCTAAAGTTACAAGCCAACAGCCTAGTATTCTAATAAAATTCACGAAAAATGAATTTTCTTGCACAATCTTACCTAACCATGATACTGTAGATGTTTTGACTTCTTCATGACTCAATACAAAAGCTACAAACCACATTTTCTTTGACATCAAAGACATCGTACAAACACTTAACAAAAAAACGAGAAGAAGAAAAAAAACCTCAAAAAACTGCGGGGGCTTCGTTTTGCAGGAGAATATTTGCATAGAAACGCATCGAATTTATTGAAATTCGCGGAAAAAAGTGATCTGAGTCATTGTCCCAAAAGTCTTCTTCACCTACGAGGGAGACCTGTCATAAATCCTGGTCAATATGGCGTGTCCCACGTCACCCATTTTTGGGGTGGGGTCCTTTTTTCTTTGACTCTTTTTTCTGATTTATCAAACTCAGATCATTCCGTCGCTCATATCGGAACGTAGATCTTGTCCTTCTGCTATTTATTTCCCAGAGGGTTTAATTTATGACTTTTTAGAGAGAGTGGCGAGACCGTAGTCTTATGAGGTTCGAGTGTAAAGGAAGAAAGACAATTGGATGTTTGGTTATAACATTTCTCACTTCCGTTTTTGTAGAACTGTCTTTTTCACTTTTTTATGTTTTGGTCCATTTTAACAAAAATTGCGTAAAAATCAACAGGGATCAAAGAGAAAAGAAAACAAAAAGCGTGGGTGGTCTGCGCTTGCTGATGAGAGATACTTTTCGCACCTTTGATTGGATTCCAAATTTGAAAAGCTGTCAAAACCCCTTTTCTCCGATTTACGTAGATCCAATTGTTTGCTTGGTTTCTCTGTGGTGTCCGCCCTCGTGAAAGCACACATGAAATACATATATCGGTGTGTGTATGATATCATATCAAAATTCATAACTTCGTTCCGAATTTTTCAAATTGTACAACGTTACCGTCTCCGTCCAAAGTACCGCGCTTGTGTGCTCGTTTTTCAGTGTGATAAAATGAAATTTGTAACGTTTTCCATGTTAAGCGCTGGACAAAAACTGTGTTGACTAGAAAATTGATAAGATGAAGCAGAAAAGTAACAGTGACAGTTTTCTTCCCGTTATATTCGTGTGTTCAATGTGTCTTCTGAAGGGAGTTCTTATTTAAGAGAAGTGCCCTTTTTCGAATAAGTCATAGTTTCGGGGCAACTCCCTTTATTACCCACTAACCGCAATTTTTCGGTGACATTTTTTATAATTATCAATTTTTGAATTAAGAGTTTTAGGAATTTCTGATTTTAATTCCGAAAACTTTTTTTTCTAACTTTTTTTTATTCCAAAAAACATTTGAAGTTTTTTTTTTGATTTTCAAAGTATTATTCTTCAAAACCTACAGTATCAGTCAATTAGATTGACAAAAACCAAATTTTCAGTTGATTTTCAGCCATTGCGACCATTTATTGGAGTCTGGAGCTCGACTGTCAAGTTTCCGATCGCTTTGAAAATATGAGACGTTTTGAAATAGACCAAAGTTGAAAATTTTGCCCTTCCAGAATTTTTGAAAATTCCTTGTTATTCAGATATCTTCCAATTTCTAGAAAACAATTTTTAAAACTTTTTGTACCGGTTCTATTTTTATTGTCCCGTTTTTGTACTTAAAAAGTGAAAACATGTGTTTTTCAGAAATCGGCAAATATCCGAAAATTAGGAATTTTCCAAAAGTTCCTTAATTGCAAAGTTACTGTATCTAAAGCATCAGGATCAAAATTAAAAAACAAGAAATTAAAAGAAAAAATCAACTTCCAGCAATGATGCTATTTTTCGTGTTCAGTTTTTGGTTCTTTCTATGTCGTCGTTAGTTTTTGGAATTCTCAAAAAAAAAAGGAAAACCCCCCTGTTTCTCACTTGACGTCATTTTTATGTCAAATAATGATATCAGGCAGCTATCGGATTCTCCGTGTGGGTTTGGTCTTGTCTCCAAACATCCAGATCTTGAGACTGGTTACACCCCTACCGAGCAGCTTTTGTAAAATTTGCTCTCAAATTTCAATGATATCATATCACAATTTTTCTCAATTCTCAAGTACCCCAAACGGTACGCTACGACAAAACAACATGATAAGAACACGTAGGAGGACTGACTTTATTCTTGTAATGTTTGCACTGCTGGACTTTTCGATATAAAAAGAAGATCTTATTATTTTGAGGAGCCAGGCAGTGCAGTCAGTCAAAATATTTTAAAAATTTCCCCCATATTTTCACCCCTGATTATTCATTGTTTGTCTAGGCCGCGTATTGTCTTTCTCCTTTTTTTCCTATTTTAGAACTGAGGGTATTTTCCATTCTAGTCATCGATTAGACAGAAAAAAAGCACACCCCTCCTCTTATCATTCTTATCACCTCATTTTTGCCGACTTTCAAGTTTATTATTTAATCAATTTTTGTTCCAAGCAGTTCTGTTGGAGTTTTGAAATCGTAATTTTTGTTAAATATTTCGAAATTCGAGAAATGTCGCGCCGCTCCACATCACTGGCGCCTACGCTGTATGTATTACCATAAACCTCTCTCTCTCCTATTTTCTATTCTGAATATTACGTTTTTTGGTATTATACGATCCGTCACATACCAAGCAACCAGTTGTCCTTCTTATTATTTTTTTTTTCGTTGCCATCCTCTTCCCACGACACTCCCTCAATTCTTGTTCATCTGGACATAATAATATGTATTACAGACCCATATAGAAAAATGTCTGGACAACTTTATAACATTGTTCAAATTCTTTTCTTACTTTCCACTATTTTTGGTGCCACAATGGCCGGAGAGCACATTCTAAGACTGCAAGGTGAGTCTGACTCATTGTTTTTTTTCCAGCTTTTTTTGAGCTCTGAAAAAAGTTTAAAGTGGAAAAAAAATAGAAAACATGAGTCATTTTGAATAATATTGATAAGAAAAAAATTCCAAAAATTTTTCAGAAAGTGTTCACGCTGGCACAACCCTAATAGGCGTGGAGCAGGGATCCAGTGTGTTGATTCGTTGTGAACATCCAAGCGGAAAATCCGGATCGTTACGATGGCTGCGTGGCGGGACGGTGATTAAACCAGAATATGTCAAAACGAAAATGTAAGAAGACAGAATGATCAATTACAAGTTAAACAGCAACCAGTTTTTCTTGTTCTTCCAGAGATGCGTCCTACGTGGAGATCACCAATTATCAGCCAGAGAAAGATGATGGAGTTTACGAGTGCTCCGCGGTTGGTTTTTGATTTTAGGGGGCTCCGTGATTTTGAAGAGAAACCAAATAAAAATCAAAATCTATTTTGAGTTTGCGGGGTTTTTTTGAAAATTCAGACATTTCATTCTTGAATATTATCTTTGCGAATGCTCTACTAGTAACTTGTGTACGTTGAGCTAGATTATCTCGTTTCCTGTCACAGATATGCAGAAATTTTTTACTGATGAATTAATTATCATGATTTCACCAACATTTTATCAGTTGACAGATTTTTGATATTTTCCATATGAGCCGAGATAATTAAGCTCAAAATGGAAATACATCCAATGCACTAATAGAGACGCATCCAACACGTGCACTTTGAGCCCAATTATCTCGGTTGCTTCGAAAGATATAACAAGTTTGTGAACTGATAAATTTTTTATATTTATATCACAAATTTTTTATCAGCAAACATATTTTTGATATCTCTTATAGGATCCGAGATAATTAAGCTCAAAATGCAGATACCAGAAATGGTCTGATAGATGCTCACCCAATACGAGCACTTTGAGCTCAATTATCTCGGTTTCTCCATAAGATATTAAAAAAATTTGATTAAAAATTTATCATAATATCACCAATATTTTATCAGTTTAAATATTTTTGATATCTTTCATAGGATATCTTTCATAGATATTTTGATATCTTTCATAGATCATTGAGCTAGGAGAAAATGCGATACCTTTTTTTTGCAAAGACATCTCTCAATTTTAAATTGACCTTTTTTCACAAAATTAGAAACTAACCCTAAAATTGAAAATTCTTAACTTTATTCTCAATTTTATTCTTGAAGTCAATTTTTACATTTTCTTGGAGCTAGGATCCCTCTCTCCATTTTATAACTTTTATGGCCTTCGTAGAATTTAATATGAATGCCTCACCCATTTCCATCCATACCCACAATACATGTTTCGTTACCCGGCTCATTTTCAGCAAGGCATGTCCGCCTCATACCGTCTGAAAGGGGAGAAGCAGTACATTCTCCCAACGGGCTTCCGTTATTGCTATGGTGAAGAAATGGCCAGCTGCAAACACGCCGATCAGTGTCACGTTGAGACCTCAACCGGACATTTCAGCTGTGTGTGAGTCTTTTTTCCTTTTTTCACTTTTTTCGCGGGCGCTCGAGCCATTATATTAGGTTGGCGGGAAAGTCTTTGTCACTTTTTCAATAGTTTATTTCTCAAAGAAAAAATAACCGAATAATTAATTATATTGTCCATCATTATCAACAACATGTCTCCAACGTTCCCTCAATTTATGGATTCCATTGCGGTAGAATCCAGCCGGGCGTGAGGCAAAGTATTGTTTGAGTGCCGCTTCGACCGCTCCACGGGAATTGAAGCTTCTTCCTTCGAAGGCACGTGTCATATCGCCAAATAACCAATAGTCGGAAGGAGCAAGATCAGGAGAATACGGGGGGTGAGGGAGAACATTCCATCCATATCCCATCAGCTCCTGCTTCACTTGTTTCGAAACATGTGGGCGAGCGTTATCATGTTGACAGTACACTTTCTTGTCTTTCAGGGCCGAACGGTCGACTGCTTTCTTGAGGTTTCGTAGTTGAGTAGTGTAGAGGTCTCCAGTTATTGTTTTGCCCTCGGGCAGAAGTTCCCAGTAGATGGGGCCGTCCACTCCCCACCACACAGAGAGCATAACTTTTTTCGGATGAAGGTCGGGTTTGGGGACATCATGTGGGATCTCTCATTCTCCAACCCAATGGGATTTCATGTGGTGATTATCGTAGAAGACCCACTTCTCATCTCCGGTTATTAGCCGGTCCAGCCATCGATCGCCCGCGTGGAGAGTGAGAAGAGTAATCGAATCGTCGACTCGGCGGTCAAGGTTGGCTTGAGTCAGGTGATGAGGTATGAATCGACCAAAAAGTTTTCTCATTCCAAGAGACTTCAAACTTTCAAGGACTGTGCTATGGTGAACTCCGAATGTGACAGATAGTTCACGGCTAGATTGAAATGGATCCGATTGCAATGCGTGCTTCAGCTTGTCCAAATCCAACTCACGGGGTCTCCCAGAGCGATCCTTTCATCGAGCGAGAAGTCATCTTTTTCGAAACGATGGAACCAATTGCGAATAGTATTGTAGTGAGGGGCATGTGTGTTGTACACATTCTTCAAGAAAGTTTCCGAATCCTTCATCGTGGTGTGAGATAGGAAGAGGTAAATCAAAACATGTCTGATGTGAATAGCAGTGGGAACAAACATATCGTTTCAATTACAGATGAGGAGCAGGGAAGGAGATGGGGACTTGTTTATATGGAAGGTTCTTATCACCTTGTTATTCACTAGAGTCGATATCATACACAGCCTCCATATACGAGAACAGTGATTAAACAAACAGAGTGACAAAGACTTTCCCGCCAACCTAATATAATTTGAGCCTGTTTTCGATTTTCAATAATCTCAAATTTCAGCTGTGAACTCGGATGGATGGGAGCTGCGTGCGATATGATATCTGATCCGGTCAGAGTTCATCCTGTTATTACTCCGCCAGTCTGCGCTTACTGTATGTCTTCTTAACACTATTGAGATCTTCTAATATAAGGTTTTCGGGTAACAATCAAAAGAAAAAACACTTCTGGGAACCTATTTGTCCTGTGTCTTCTATTTGTGAGTAACGTTTTGAAAGAAAAGCTTACATTCAGTAACAGAAAAAATTAACTTGATGTCTACTTTCAAACAATTTTCAATTCACGAATTTTCTTCTTCTACAGGGCCACCCGTGGTGACACTTCTCGTATTCATCGCCATTATCATTTTCCTGGCCTACTGCTTGTACAAGTTCAAGGTGCGCAATCCACACCACTACTCCAAGTACGCGACGGCCACTATTAACAACAATAACGACAGTAAGCCACCAATGTATGTTTTTTCTTCTATTTCTATCTTTGCAGTTCTTTTACTAGCTCAGAAACCTGAAAATTGTTCCGAAAAGCAATTTTTTATATTTCCAGGGTCTCTGGAGAGTACACAGCAGTTCACCAGCAGCCTCCTGGGCAGAGGAACGGTGACGCAGTAGCCAACATGGTCTGAATCTGTGCTCCAATTGCTCCAATTCCAACAAATATCTCAAAATTATCATCATATTCTTAATCATTTCCATTGTTTTCTTTCATCAGAAAAAATCAGAACAAAAAAACAAAAACAAATCCCCTTACCGTACCCTGCAATGACAATATTCAACAGCTTTCAATGTTTCTCTCCTCATTAGTCTTGATCTCAATTGTTATCATAATAATATTTCGAAAACCCTACCCTGTACTTTTTGTTGTTTCATAAAAACGTTTTTCTAACAGTTTTAATGTAAAATGGTGCTGAAATAAATTTTAAGTTACAAGGAAACGTCAATATTTTTAGAACTTCGACTTTGATTAAATCTTCGGGACCGCATATAGGAATTTCAGAGCTTCTTAATTTAAGGAATTATCTGAATTTCCAACAATTCCAAAAAAATCTGAAGCTTGTATATTAGATTCTAAATTTTTTCTGGAAATCGAAATACTTTTTGAAAATTCGTAAATTCCAAAAAATTCATATATTCAAAGAAAATGCTAAATTTTGAAAATTTTAGAAACTCGAAAAAAATTCGAAAAGTCAAAGTTTTGAAATTCGAGAAATGTCGCGCCGCTCCACATCACTGGCGCCTACGCTGTATGTATTACCATAAACCTGCGAACAATTTCAGTTTTTAGAATTTCTTAAAATTCGTAATTCTTCAAAAATTCATAAATTCCAAAAAATTCGTGAACACGCAAAAGTTCCAAAATTCATAAATTTCTAATTTCCCGAACTTTTACTAATTCCTGAAAATTCAAAAATTAAGCAAATGCTAATGAACATGAATTTTAAAAATCATATGAATTCAAAAACTCAAATTTTTAAAAATTTTGAAAAAATCAAATATGTAAAGTAGCGAAGTTTGAATTCTCAACTATTCAATTAATCAAGCTGATTTATCTCGTGTTCTCTAAGAAATATCAAAAATGTGTCAACAACAAAAATGTTGGTGGTATTATGATAAACATTTTGTCCGTTGACAAATTCCTGATATCTCTAATAGGAACCGATATAATTGTTAGTCTAAATGCTCCAATAGAACGACACAAGTTTTTTAGTTTGTCATATCATCAACCGTTCTATAAATTTCCAATTTTTGATATCGCTTACAAAAATCAAGATACAAAATTCAATACAACAGCGACGTTATATCTGACTGTGCTATTTTTGAGAAATTGTCTTTGATTTTTTCAAAAATTTCAACTGTTTTCTAATTGTTCCATCCATCGATACAGAATATTCACTTGAGAATAATTGCTTCCCAGGCGGAAAGCAACCCCAACAACACACACACCCATACCAAGAACGCCCGAAAATTTGCTAATCGTATTCTGTGAAGACTTGGTGGTAGGAAGGCAAAGATACAATTCGATAGATAGATATATTCCCGAGAAATGTTAAGGATGATAATAAGATAACTCGATCTGAGCGAGTGACCATGAACGGGATGGGGTGCGCGTCTTTTGTATATCCGCCGCGTCGCAAGAACCCGCCGATGTTGTTCAACTGCAACACTCTTCATCCAGCCAACATCTTCTTCCAACTTATTTGATTGAACGGTTCAACCTAGTTTCCATCATTTTAACAATTTCCGCCATTTTATTGTTTTCGTGTTGTTGCAACTATACGGGAAATTTGATAATGTATGAGTCTTTGTTTTGGAAATTCCTACTATCTAGGATTCCAGGTTACTACAGTATATAAAACATCCTCATTTTCGTCTCATATTCCTTTATTTTTCTCATAATCCCCCAAAGTTTCATTCCAATGTCCGTTTAGCGCCTGTTAATCACATTGGGTGATTTGCAAAGACACTTTTTTCTTGTTCCCCCTTATCAATCTTATCGAACATTAGATCTCCTTATTGGATTTTTTCTTGTTTTTCGCCCACACGCAACATTCCTTCTGTACGTTACATTTTCACGACCAATATTTTTCAATTCAGGTTAACCAAAAAACGTATTACAAAGGTAACAGGAAGAATTGAATAATCAGGAATTTCCAGAAATGGAAAACCTTATCGAGCTTCCGTGAGTTTTTTGGAATAAAGTATTGAAATTTTGAGATTTAAAATTTCAGAGACCAATAGAAGCTGGAATTGCTCAAAACCTTCATGAGCGATTCAAAAATGGACAAACCTATGTGAGCAATGTTTTTTGAAGCTAGCGCATTTCTGCTAAGAGAATTTTATCCAAACCGTTAACTTTGTGCTCAATTATCTCGATTTCTGTTAAGGGTATCAACAATTGGTCAACTGATAAAATATTGGTGATATTATGTAAAATATTTTATCAATTTTCAAAAGTTTGATATCTTTCAAAGCGAAACGAATGTGTTCATGTGTAGTTAACGGTTTTTGTGGGCTTCTATTACAGTAAACACGTTTTTTAAAACTCAAATTATTTTCAGACTAAAGCAAGTAATGTGTTGGTGTTTGTGAACAATTTTGAAAAATTAACCCAGCAGACATCACTGAACACCCAAAAATGTCATATCTCCGGTGTCTCTCAAAATGCGTTGCAGAGAATCACCAGAATGAGCTCAAACTCGGAGTCTATTGTATTTGGGTACGTTATTTTGTTGGTTTTCTAGAATTCATTACTCAAATTTCAGAGGAGAATCTGGTTCTGGAAAATCTACCAACGCATTCAAGGTGTTCAATTTTCTAACATCCCAACCCAACTCCAAAGTCACCACAAAACACTCAAGTGCGATAGAGTCGGTTTTCAAAAGTTTCGGTTGTGCCAAGACGTTGAAAAACGATGAAGCAACTAGATATGGATGTTCAATGGATCTTCTTTACAAGAGGTAGGCTTTGCAGTTGATTTCGGTCATTTTGACCATTTTTAGGATTCTGTAGCTCAGCTGGTCTGTCCCCAATAAGTTTGAAAATTTAGGAAAATGTCATATAATTCTAGATTTGAAACTTTGAATTCACAGAACTTTTCGAATTTCTTAGTTATTTAGTTTTTTTCAATTTCTGAATAGCCTCAATTATGTACCCAAAAACTAAGGAATTTTCAAAGTGATAGAAAGCTTGATAGCCGAGCTACAGACTCCTAAAATGATTAAAAAGGCCGGAAAATCAAATTTACCGATACTGTAATTATTATTTTTAGAAATGTTCTAACTGGTCTGAACCTAAAATACACTGTACCATTGGAAGTACCACGTGTAATTTCTCAAAAACCTGGCGAGCGAAACTTCAATGTCTTCTATGAAGTCTACCACGGATTGAATGATGAAATGAAGGCGAAATTTGGGATCAAAGGTCTCCAAAAGTTTTTCTACATCAACCAAGGAAACTCCACGGAAAACATTCAGTCCGATGTGAACCATTTCAAGCATTTGGAAGATGCACTTCACGTCTTGGGATTTTCTGATGACCACTGTATTAGTATCTACAAAATTATTTCAACCATCCTGCACATTGGAAATATTTACTTCCGGACGAAAAGAAATCCAAATGTTGAACAGGATGTGGTGGAGATTGGTAACATGTCAGAAGTGAAATGGGTGGCTTTTTTGTTGGAAGTGGATTTCGAGAAACTTCTAGACTTCTTATTGCCAAAATCTGAAAACGGAACTACCATCGACTTGAACTCCGCGCTCGATAACAGGTAACTTCCAAAATTTACAGAAAATTTGTTTTGATTCCTAATATTATCATTTTCCAGAGACTCCTTTGCTATGCTGATCTACGAAGAACTATTCAAATGGGTCATTAATCGAATTGGTCTTCACCTCAAGTGTCCTCTCCATACCGGCGTGATTTCCATTTTGGACCAATACGGTTTCGAAAAATTTAATAACAACGGAGTCGAAGAGTTTTTGATCAACAGTGTGAATGAGAGACTTGAGAATCTTTTTGTGAAACATAGCTTCCATGATCAGCTGGTGGATTACGCCAAGGATGGGATTACTGTAGACTATAAGGTTTGTTTTCGGAAGCATTATAATGTTGTGTACAGTACCGATCGACAAAATATATATATATATATATATATATAAATTTTTTAATTTCCCGATATATATATGTAATTAGCAGTTGATTTTCAGCCATATTGACCATTTTTAATCTGAAACCCAGGGTTGGAAAACTTGAAGAAACTCTGAAGTTTGGAAATTCAGAGAATCAGATATTCGGAAATTCAGCAATCCATGAAATTTGAAATCCGAATCATCGAAAATTATGAAATTCGTAAATACGAAGATTCGGAAATTAGAAGTTAAATCAAAGATTTTGAATAGTCTGAAATTCGGATAGTCAGAAAGGCAAAAATTTGAAACTTCTGAAAATCGGATGTTCCAAAATGTCAAAATTTTAATAATTCGGGAATTTGAGAATTTCGAGTTTGGAGCTCGGCTGTCAAGTTTCTGATCAGTTTGAAAGTTTTGAAGGTTGTAAAACAGACCTAGATTGAAATTATTGCATTTACAGAATTTTGTGAAAATTCCTTGTTTTTTCAGCCTTTTGCCAATTTCTGACAGACTCCTGTTTTGGCCTGTTTTTTGTTGTTTAAAACGTGAAAAAAAGTTTCTTCCAGAAATTGGCAAATATCTGAAGTACAAAAATGTTTCGAAACATTCTATGAATGCAAAGTTTCCAATTTGGGTCTGTTTCAGATCCTTCCGAGTTTTCAAAGTGACCGGAAACTTGATAGGCGTGCTCCAGATTCCTGTTAATGGTCAAAATGATCGAAAACCAACTGGAAAATATGTCTTTGTTTATCTTATTGGCTGGTACTATATTTAATCAAGTTTTAAGGTCCCAACCAGTATCGAGAATGGAAAAACGGTGGAGCTTCTTTTCAAAAAACCATATGGCCTTCTTCCATTGCTCACTGATGAATGCAAATTCCCGAAAGGCAACCACGAAAGTTATCTAGAGCATTGTAATCTGAACCATACCGATCGCAGCTCCTATGGTAAGGCTAGAAACAGGGAAAGAATGGAATTCGGTGTCCGTCACTGCATCGGAACCACCTGGTACAATGTGAATGATTTCTTCTCTAGAAACAAGAGAATCATCTCTTTCTCTGCGGTTCAACTTTTGAGAGGCAGTAAGAATCCGGTAAGGTGTCTCTCATTGGTGCATATCTTCAAGTTTGTTTGTAGATCATTGGGCTCTTGGTAGAGAACTATAGTTCCAACACAACTGATCAGATTGTGTCCCAAGCGCAATTTATCTTGCGTGGTGCACAGGAAATCGCAGAAAAGATCAATGGATCTCACGCTTATTTCGTTCGTTGTATCAAAAGTAACAATGAGCGACAGACAAAGAAGTTCGACATTCCACTTGTCAACCGCCAGATTAAGAACCTCCTTCTGGCGGAACTTCTTAGTTTCCGTATCAAAGGGTATCCGGTGAAAATGTCAAAGACGTCATTTGCAAGACAGTAAGTTTTATCTTCACCTTGTCTTAATTTTTGCTACACATAAGTTCTAGATACCGGTGCCTTCTCCCAGGAGACATTGCCATGTGTCAAAACGAAAAAGAGATTATCCAAGACATCTTGCAAGGCCAAGGTGTCAAATACGAGAACGACTTCAAAATCGGAACCGAATACGTTTTCCTACGAGAACGCCTTGCCGATCGCTACGAGTCCCAACAAAACCGGATATGTTCAGATGCAGCTATTGTGATTCAGAAGAATCTGAAATCATTCGTTGCTCAGAGAATTTACAAGAGGAAGCGAGCAGCGATAATCAAGTTGCAGGCAGGGTTGAGAGGATGGAAGGCCAGGTGAAAACCCCGATTTGAAAATCGACAGGCATCTGATTTTAAATTTTTTTCAGAAGAGATTACATTTCAAAACGAGAAGAAATGTTCAAAGCAATTGGAAGAACCATGAAACGCAACAAACGACTTGATGCTTACCATCAGGCATTGGGTGGAGAGAATTCTGGAAAATTACAACATACACTTGTGGGATACATTGATATTAACGAGGATGCTAAGAAGGCTTTGGAGCGACCAACGTCAGATTCAGAAGCTACTGAAACCCTAACTCAGTATCTGACAATTCCAGTAAAGACTTTCTTGCCAAACATGAGGAGCATTTCTTTAGAGCAATATGCCGAAGAAAACTTCAAGGGACATCTTCTGGAATCTCGCCGTGAACCCATCATGACTCCATTCTTACACAAAGAAAGTGAATATGACTTCCGTCTCTCTGTTGAAATTTTCAAACTGGTTTTGAAGTATATGAACGATAGGAAGTTTTCGAAAAAACAGCAAGAGGATTTGGGACGATACATTGTTCAACAAGGGATTTCGAATCCATGCCAACGGGATGAGATCCTAGTTCAGATTATTAACCAAATTCATGGCAATCCGGATAAAACAGCCATTGATAATGGATGGAAATTGGTGCACATGGCAATTTCAGTTTTTCCACCTACTGAAAATATTATTCCCATGCTCGTTGGGTTCTTCAAGCAGGAGCCAGCTCCTTTGCGAGAGCAGTTGTTCGGTACCCTTCAAAGGAGATTGAAAATCTATGATAGTGAGGTATGTTCACAAATCAAATCTACAGTACCGGTCTTTCTCAATTAATTTTTGGCAATCGACAATTTTCAAAAGTAACATCCAGCTATGATCTTTATGATCTTCTTATGACCTTAAAATATGATATACTGTACGAATCAATGATAAATAAAAACGTATTTTTCAGTAGATTTTCAGCCACTTTTACCAAATTTAGAAGTTTTTAGATCGGCTGGCAAGTTTCCGATCATTTTGGAAATTTTAGAAATCTTGCATTTTAATAATAATTTTTAGAAAACTCATGATTTTTCAGATTTTTGCCTATATCTCAGACACTTGTTTTTTTCACATTTCCATTACAAATCGGGACAAAAAAAGCGTATTTCAGAAATCAACAAATTTCTAAAATAACTAGAAAGCTCTGAAAAATTCTGTAAATGCAAAATTTTCAATCTAGGTCTGCTTTACACTCTCTAACGTTTTAGAAGTGATCGGAAACTTGACAGCCGAGCTCCAGACTCCGGAAACTGATCAAAATAGCAGAAAATTCATTGAAATGTGTTTTATATCATATTGAACAGTAATAGAAATTTCGAAATCAAGTCATCAATTTCCAGATTGCCAGAGAGCACCCACCATCTAATCTGGAACTTCAAGCCACTCCAAACATTCCGAACACAGTAGCTGAAATCAACTGCTACGATGGATTGAGCTATGATATTCACTTAAACCCATGGAGCACAACTAGTGAACTCGCTGAGCGAATTTTGAAGCAAAGGTATATATTTTGAAAACAAATTTAGTAAAAATCGATATTTCATTTACAGAGGAGTTGGTTTTGCTTTGGGGTGGACTGTGGAAGTGGAGACACCTAATCGAGTTTTCGTACCAACTGGAAACCATTTCATCCATGATGTCTTTTCTCAAATCGAAGGGGCAAATATGGATTTGGAGAATCAACAGTACAAACTTCAATACTTTTCTAATACGCTTAAATCCAATTTCAGATCCATATTCTTCAATTTCCCGCCTGAAAAACTGGTCAAAAAAGTGGCAGAAGCACAAAAACCAGAACTTGTTGAGCCAGAAGTTACGATGACTCCAAAACAACCAAGGAAGTACCCAACACCAGAAGAATGGATGAATCAGCCGCCGCAACGCACTGAGAGCAGAAATACGCCAATGTAAACTACAAAAATAAATCATCTTCCTTACTCATCTTAAATCATATTTCCATTTCCAGGGACCACCAAAAAATCGATGAGGAGTCTGATGAGTCTCTAGTCAGAGAATACAACGAGGAAGCTGGCTACGCGTACACGTTGCCAAGAAAAAATAATCCGAAGCCACAAGAAATGGTGGAGAGTGGTATGGAAACCTTTTTTTGACCTTCAAAATTTATTTTTTCTAGAAACCTCAGAAAGTGAGGAAAGCGTTGAGGACGATAATCGTGTTGGATATGAGACGGTCCGCCCGAAGGAAAATATGAAGATGCAGGAAACGATTCAAGACCATTCGCACATTTTGAAATCGCCGATTCTACCAAGAAAAACTTATTCAAGGTTGGTTTTGTTTCATAAATTTGGTTTCTATATTTTAAAACTGAAAAAAGGTGTCTCACAGAAATCGCGAATTGCTGAAAAACTAGGAATTTTCGAAAAATTCTGCTAATTCAAAGTTTTCAATCTATGTTTGTTTCATATCTTCCAAAAATTTCAAAAATATCGCTCAAAAAGATTTTGAAAAAATGTATTGTTCATTTGATTTCTCATCTTAACCGTAATTCTTATCAATTAACCAACTTCAGAACCGAACACCACGAGGAATACACGCCGATGAACTTTGCGCCACCCCCAACGTTCACCTATCCGCAACAACATATGCCCATGATGCAGTACGTGCCTGTCATGATGACTTCATCAATGATACCTGGCCAGCAAATCGCAATGATTCCTCAGCAGATGATGATGCAACCACAGTTCTCCTACGTTCCACAGTATCCGCAGAGTGAGTTTTCTGTTTTCATAGAAGTTTAATTCAATTTCCCCTTATATTGAAATTATTCAGTCCCCCAATACCGTCCACCTGAACCTATTCTATCTCCTCAAAGTGTGAGATCGGATGTTGCACCCATGATGGCGGCGCCAGTAATGTACGATGGTCATGAGTCAACTCGATCTCGTGACATTAGAAAACTGAAACGAGGAGAAGTGCCAAGCCAGTACTCAACTATTCGGAACATGCCGGTTCCAGAGCATGGAAAAGATGTTGATCAATTTTTAGATGCAGTTTTTGACCAGTGCTTGTCGAAAGATGAGCAGCGAGCTGCCGAATTTTCAGCTCATCAGTTGGCAGGGACCATAAAAGGAGGAAAAGTGAGACCCGATGGATATTATGAGCCACCATCACCACCACAGCAAACATACTCTCCGGCTCCTCGATATCCAACACTTTGTCTTGTAGACGATTCACCAGCTAGGAGCCGTGCCAAAAGTCTTCCACGTATCATTTCTCCAAGACACCACGATCATTATGTCAGACGTCCACATTCAAGGGTTGGTGACCTTTTCATTCACCTTTCCACATGATTAGGCTGATTCAAATCTGTTTTTTTTGCAGAATTCCTACAGTAATGAATCAACATCATCGGATGATCAAATCAATTATCGAACTAGAAGCCGGGAGCGTTCGCTGCCACGTTTCCACTCGAATAATGGATACAACTACGACCCGTCTCAGCCAGTGTACATGATGCCGGTGCAAATGAATGGGCATGGCGAGATGATTCTGTTGTCGCCAACAATGAGAAATGAGCAGGTATGCCACGCCGACTTTTGTACCTATTTTTTGCCCATACATGGCTAAAATTAGGAATATCAAGTTTTTGAGAGCTTCAATATGTGCTTAAAATGACTTTGTGCAATTTTCAAAACATTCAGATTTTTTGGAATTGAAAAAAATTCCAGTTTGCATGTTCATACTCATTTCGAAACGATTTTCTGCATTTTCCAAAATTTTCAGATATTTCTGGAATTTCGAAACACTATCCATTTGCATATTCATACTCAACCTGAAGTCCTTAACTATGTCAATTCTAAACAGACTGAACTATCAATTTAAATTTTTTGAGAGCTTCAAATAGAGGCTAACCTGACTTTGATCATTTTGCAAAATTCAGAGTTTGTGCAAAAATGTAGATTTCTTTTTTTATATTCATTTTGAAGCTTCCGAAAATCTCAATTCAAAACATCACCTCAAACTATCGGTATTATATAGATTTCATTCGTTGGAAGCTTTTAGCAATCTCAATTCAAAAAATTAGCCTGAACTATGAATGTCAGATTTTTTAGCGCTTCAAAATGAACCTAAACATGACTTTGTCCTAAACATGACTTTGGTTTTTCAGAACTTTTCATATTGATTGTCGTCTCTAAATTGTTTTTTTTTTGAAATTTGATTTTTTCAGATAGCTTCCAGCCGTCATGGTACTCACGATAGATCCCGCCGACATGTATCCAGTGGAGTCGAACGTTACATGGCAAAACGATCACCGTCTGTTGACATACTGAAACCCCATCTCTCCAGGTTTGATTTTTTCCCCTAATACCTTAGTTTAATCAGCTTATCACCTCCAAATATTGCCCTAATTCCAGAAGAACACCCGACATGCTGGAACAAACACACGTCAGACCAGCAACTCATTTGGTGAGTCCCCCTTTTTGCAATTTGTTTACGTTGCCAAATACTTGCCTCGCAATGGCAATCAAGAAATAAAATAGCGTTTTTTTTATCAGCCAACGCCAACCAACACCAAAAATTTTTTAATGTCAGCTCGAATTTTTTCGCTGTAGCATTTTTCTTTTTTTTGTGCCTCGGTATCACTTCTGAGGCGTCTTTTAAATTTCCAGTATGCTTGTTTACACTTCTTTCCCGTAGAGAGGGTATTCTGGTCATTGATGGAATTCCTAATTTAATTTCCCTTTAAAATTTAGTTCATGAATAAATTTTCAGATACCGGAGTTTCAATGATAGTCGTCTAAAAAAGGTGTTTAATGTTTAACGCTTTTTTCTCTCCCTACTCATCGATAAAACCCTTCAAAACCATTTTGAACCTTAAAATCTTTCACTGTCCATACATTTCTTAAACTGATAAGAAACAATAGAACCGGCATGCGTGAAACTCTCGGTTTTTCTTACACACATACGCATCATCATACGTATTTTTTATCAAGCAAAAAAAATGTTGAATTTGCTCCGTTACAACGTAATATATAATTTAATGGCCGTCGTTGTGAAATTGGCGCCTTGAGATGCCTGCGGTAATATAATTATCTATTGTTTCAGGTACAATCGCCGGCCGGTCGCCGCTTTGAAGAATTTTCAGCGCTGCCGAGGGCTGACTCGCGTGCACGTGAAAGGTAGTTTTTTTTCAAATTTAAATTCAGAATTCGAGAATTTAATTCAGAATGGAAAACCCTCTGTTGGCCCGCCAGTACCAGAGAACATTCCCGTACCAGAATGGAACTGTTGTCCCACCACCACCTTCCAGCTATCGTTCTCCATCACCAGCTCCAACTTCTGGAGATCGAAGAGTATGTATTATAATTTCAAAATGTTCCTTAAAATCTGAAAATTGTGATTTCCAGGGTCTCAGCCGTCTTCCACAAGAAGCTTACGTTGAGCAAGCTGTGAAAAACACCAAGAACAACTCTGAGTACTTGAGCCCACATAGATTCAACTTGGATGAGCAAAAGGCTGTAATTCGTCATGAAAAAGAAACTGCCAAAAACGCATTGAACATGCTTAGCGATCGCTTAAAAGTAAGCTGAATTAAAATTTAGGGATGTTCAGAACGGAATTTGGGGTTTCGGAAATTTTGAAAATTTTGACCTTTTCTTTTTTCGGAATTAAGAGATTTCTGGACTACGGTATGTCAAAATCGCATGCGAAATATTTCGGCAGGTGTCGAGCAGAATTGATTTCAACTTTTTGCGTTTATGAAACCAATTTGTCAATTTTTCACCAAAATGTTCGCGTTTTCCCTATTTCTTCTGACAGAAGCCCACCTAATGCGTCGACGTTAAGCTCAATTATCTCAATTCCTGCAGAAGATATCAAAATTTTGTCAACTGCTGAAATAATTATCATAATATCACCTATATTTTATCAGTTAACCAGTTTTTGATATGTCCTTGAGAAACCGAGATAATTAAGCTTAGAGTGCTTGTATATGGTGGGATTTTATCGAAGAAAATACGGGTTGTCATGGAAAATTTTGAAAAAAATATTCCAATTAATCCGAAATTTTGAAAACCAGAATAGTCTGAAATTCCGAAAGTTCGACATTTCGAAAAAATTCCAGAAAGGTCATTCAGAACATCCCTACCACATTTATTGTATTTCTTTTATTTCTTACTAACTCAACTAACAGAAACTACCACCACCCGTGGACAATGTGCGTTTGATTCGTCCGGTAACCCCACAACGACCAGTAACACCAGCACCACCTTCACCGGAGCAACTCGTTTATGTTCGCCCACCTGTAACTAACATTTTGTCGCTTTTTTAAAACCCCGAATTCATTTTTAGAGCCCAATCCCTCAACCAACTCCCCCACCACCGCCACCACCACAAATCCAACAGCCAATCCGTCACGAATGGGTTGTCAAAGATGCAGTGGAAAGAGATCCTGAGACTCAGGGAAGAATTCGCGGTTCATTTATTAGTACGGATTTGTTTTTTTTTTTTTCGTTTAAAAACTGAACTCTGAAACTGATACTTTTGCAGAAGAACCATTGGTTCCACAGCCACCAAAAGCTCCGGTGGCCACTGAGAAGTCTGCTGTTAAATTTGTAAAAGCCCCATGGAAATTGACCATTCGGAAAGAGATGTTCTATCCCGGAGAAGTGCTAAACGACATTCAAATCATTGATCAAGTGTTCGCACAGATTGTTGAGGACTGCAAAAAGTCGTACCCATACAGAATTAGGCTAGAGGATCGGAAGCAAGTGGAGGATGTTTTGAGTTAGTGATTTTTTAAATATAAATGATAGAAACGTTTTTTTCCCAGTTGATTTTTGGCCATTATTACTATTTTCAAAAGTTTAGAGCTCAGCTTTCAAGCTTCCAATAACGTTGGAAGTTTTTAACCCTGTAATACAGACCTAGATTAAAGACTTTGCATTCACAAAAATTTTTTTCAAAATTCCTAGTTTTTCAGATATGTAACGAACTCTGAAAGAAACCTGTTTCTTCGCGTTTAAAGACGGAAACAGGCATGAAAAAGAAAATTTCAGAAATAAAAAAAAAGCTAAAAACTACAAATTTTTTATAATTCTGTGAATTCAAAGTTTGCTAGGACTCTCTCACACATTCCAATATTTTTGAAGTGATGGAAAATTTAAAAACCGAACTCCAGACTCTTGCAAATAGTCAAATTGGACAAAAATCAACTGAAAAATACATTTCTGCATATCTTATTTTTCTGCAGACTAATACCCTAACCATAAAAAATTTTTTTTCAAATTGAAGCTTTTTGGTCTACAGTAATCCGAATTCCAAATTTTTCCAGGAGCTCATGAAATCCCACCATCTGACCTGAACAACCAATCAAACATTCATCCAGACGTTAAGGTTGCCATCATTGAAAGAGCCAGATTATGGCCCTTATATTTCAATCAAGTCTATGAGGTTTGTTTCTTTTTATTATTCATTAAAATATACGATTGTTTTCTTGTTCAACAAACAGTGTCAATAAGCTAAAAATAAATTTACACACACACACACACACAGATAGAAAGACCGAAAAACTTCCCTCTATTCGGCATATAACAAAAAATTTTGATCTGTACAGGTCACCGAGAAACGCCCTGATGAATCAGTCAGCACGATTTTTGCCATCTCGGAACACGGAATCCGTTTGATTATTCATACACCACATGACTTGGAACATCCGTTGAAGATTCAAGATTTCTTCCCGTCAGTTTACGTCATTTGGCGAAATTTTAAAACTGACAGCCCTTTTACAGATTCGAAACGATTGCCGACGTTTCTCTCGAAGCGAATGATATCCTCTCGGTTCATGTGCGTCATGAGAACGAGGAGAATGCGTATACAGCGGTCCGCATCAAGACCAATCAGGCTCCCCAAATCAAGAAGACGTTGGAGAAGTGTCTCTCGGGTGGGGTCGTTCCAAAACGGAAATTTGTCCGTGCGCTCGAAGACTATGTGACCAGCGAGGTCAACCACTTGTCGTTCAAACAGGGCGATGTGATTGAACTGGTATGAAGCGATGAACGAATTAGCGATGAGTACAAACCATAAAACTGTGATTTTTAGTTGCCATCACCCGAATCAGAAACGCCTCCCGTCGGAAATTGGATGTATGGTAGAATTGAGAATCGGTTCGGATATTTGCTTGCGCAATATGTGGATTCCGCCGCCGCTGGAGATAACATTCCACCAATTAGATCCGAAAATAGCGCGGAGAGGGTAACCAAGAAGAACAAAGTTTGTGAAAAATAAGACATTTTCAGGATGAGAGAGTGAAATTCTTCGATGATGAGGTTCCATTCTCCAGTGAGCGATACACGATGCTCGATTTTGCGACCAAGTATTTCCGTAAACCTAAAGATAAGAAGAAACGTCAGTCTCTCTGAAAAAGCTAAAATTTTTTAATCCATGGGTTTCAGAAGAAGAATGGGCTTGGGAAGACATATCACAAGCTGTTCGATACAGTGAAAGACCGATTTCTCACAGTCTCTTGGCAGATTTGGGATCCGACGAATCGAAATACGCAGTGGAGACATTCCATGCCATCATGAAATTTATGGGAGATGAGCCTTTGAAGAAATCTGAATCGATGACTGATGTGGTCTTCAAGGTTTTGATCATCTGCCACAGACAGCCAACACTGAGAGATGAAGTCTATTGTCAGCTTATCAAGCAAACTACCTCAAACACATCTAACAAGTGAGAGAAGTTTGGGCACCTAAACATCTTGTCGAACCAGATTTTGATGAAAATTTTTGGATGGGGTTAAGAATGATGGAATTTTCGAACGTCAAATATGTTTTGTTATACAGTGAAACCTGTAATAGAAGGGCCCCAATTTGGGCTCATTTATCGCGGTTCTTAGAAGAGATATAAAAAATGTGTCAACTGACAAAACTTTTATAATATAATGATAAGCAGTTTATCAGTTGACAACTTTTTTATATCTTTGACAGGAACTAAGTAAGAAATATGGCTCAAGTTCAACGTGGAAAGGCCCTTTTATTACAGGTTTTACATTAGAATTCAGTTCAATTTTGATTTCAGACATTTTTCTGAAATTTGTTGTTTAAAATTTTCTAAAATTTCCACTTTCAACTTTACTACCACGACTTGGATTGATTTGAAAATTGAAAAAAGTTTTTAAATTAATTAATTTTTTCCAACATCCTTAAAGGTGTCTAAATAGACTATTCTCAACTTATCCAAAAATTTTCATCAAAATCTGGGTTCAAAAAGTTTTGAAGTTCCCTAAAAATAAACTGTCAGAGAGAAAAAAAACTAAAATTTCAGACCGAACAGCTCTCTCCGTGCTTGGAGACTTCTCACCATTATCACTGCTTACTTCCCATCCAGCCTAACTTTGAAACCCTACATTCTTCAATATCTCGGAGACAATGCCGACGATTGGCAGAGACCGTACCATGGTACGTCGAAAATCATATGAGGAGAAAATGCTGAACTATTATTATTATTATTCTAAAAATACAAATGTTTTTTCCAACAGGTACCGCACGAATTTGCCAAACAAACATGATTCAAACGTTCAAGTACGGTGGGCGTAAAGTTCTACTGAATGCTCTAGAAGTTCAACAGATTACGGTAATCGTGTTTTCATGTAAACAGTTTGATGAATATTTTTTTACAGGACGGAAGTCAACTGAGACGTCAAGCATTCTTCATCTCACGAGAACATAGTGTCAACCAGACACTTCGTCCAATTGCAGTAGTCGAGGAGATGATTCAGGAACTTTGTAGTCTGTTGAATGTGAGATCACTTCATGAGCAACAAGAATTCTCGTTGTGCTACACTGTTGGAAAAGGTGGCTCCTTTGAAACTTGCATTTTTGAATGGTCCCTAATTTTAGAAAAACGCCTCAACTACTGCAAGAACGATAGCTACTTGATGGACATCATCACCGAATGTGAACACAAGAAACTTCCGTTCCAATTCCATCTTAAGCGAACTGTTTGGGTTCACCCGTTACGATATGATAACGCCGCGTACATTGACTCGATGTTTGACCAAGTCAGACCCGAATCTTTTGATCTGTGTATTAAACGAGTCGTTTTTAGTTGATCGACGATTATCTGCGCGGATCACTCATTTCGACCAACTCGCTGGGTCAATTGACTGCTGCCACAACAGAGGAGATTATCAAATTAGCTGCCTACTTGTTCCTCCTACTTCCAAATGATAATGCAAAGAGACTTACTGCGTGAGTGCAAAGAGAAGAATTGGGGTGGATAGAGGGATGTGGAGGTTAATAGAATAGGTAAAAGCACAAATAACGTGAAATTGACTAGCTAGAAAGTTACAGCAATACTAAAACGATCAGAATACAAATTCGGAGCAGAATCTGCGAAATGTGTGAAATGACGCATGATAAAATCAAAAAATATAAAATACAGTAATCCGAAACTTCATAAAATTAGAAATGCAACATCTTGTCATAGTTTCTTTTGAAAACGCACATCAACCTTGAAGAAGCCGAAAGATCAGAGTTTATGGAGTTACGGTATGCATTTTGACTAATACCCAATTAATTTTGACAACTTTCAACATAAAGTAACAAAATATTTAAAAAAAAAAGTGTTTTGTGGCATATCATGTTCAAGGTTCTGAATCTCGGCTGTCAAGTTTCCGATCACTTTGAAAGAAACGGGAAAAAATTGTTTGCCAAAAATTTGCAAATAGTTGAAAAACAAGAAATTTTCAAGAAACTCTGAAAATGCAAAATTTGCAATCTAGGTTAGTTTTACACCTTTCAAAATTTTCGAACTAATTGAAAAAATGCCAGTTGAACTAATTGAAAAAGTGCTTCTGAAAATAGTCTTTGATCAGCTCCAGATAGCCAAAATTACCAAAAATCAATTTTTTGTATCCTATTGACCGGTACTGTAAGATGAGTTAAGCCTGGCAACTTGAAAATAACAAAATACAGTAATCCGAAACGTTTAAAAACAAGCCACTGCGATACCTTGTCACAAATATTACAATTTACAGTGACCCTAAACAATGACGTAACCCTTCTCAGCCGACTTTTCAATCTAATAAACCCAACAATTCTATTTTCAGCAAGACACTTCCTCAAATTGTACCCAAAAGTGTCATCGAACCCAAGCATCGACACCAGGAAGAGATGGTGACGCGTATCAATCGACAACTGAAAATGTTCGGTGGTCGAATGCGACCCGCCGAGGCCAAGTCTCACTTCCTAGGTATTCCCCAAACTACGGGGCAGCGAAAATAACACCTTTTTTAATTCTCAGAACTTTTGTCAACATGGCCTTTGTTTGGTGTCCTGCACTACCGGTTAAAATCCGTCGTTGAGAATGGCAACCAATTGCCAGAGGTGATTCTGACGATAAACAAGTCTGGAATTCAGTTACTGCAACCAAAATCAAGAGAGGTTTTTAAACAGAGAAATTATGATCAGGTACTAATGACCGTACAATGGCAAACGTGAACTTTTGATATTGTGTTCAGATTGAATCGGTCGAAAGTATTCGGAAGACTGCGTACAGAATTGTCCGATTGGTGATAAACACCCCGGAGGGTGAGGAAGCATTGGACATCAAAACGGACGAGGTGAGAAAGAATTCGGGTACAAACCAAGGCGTTCGTATCAAATTAGGGTCTCCGGAGGTCATTCAGGTCTCATAAGATCTGTACCAATTCGAATAACCGAAATAATTGAATAACTCAGAGCATACATCACGTACAATAGTAATTTGATTCAATTTGGCTTGGTTTTCTTTGTTCTTTTGACTACTGCAAATCAAAGAAATTGAGAGTTCATAGTGTAAAAGAAAATTGACCGCCAAACCAAAGAGAGACCAACAAACAATTTGCAAAAAAAAAAAGAAGCTGAATGTGTTTTGTTTGTTTCAGGCCGACGAAATTTCTCACTTGATTGGTCAATACATGTTTGTGACTGGCGGCGTCGAAGATCGGGACCGAGGGTCGTCAACGGAGCTGTGAATTATTGTCCCCCACTCAATAATTTCCCAATCATCTTCAATGTGCAAGTTGAAGGCTTTCAATTATTACTATCTCACTTAACCAAAAACCCCTTGATCCCCAAATTTATCTTTCAGAATTTTTCCCTTATTTTCAAATTTTCTGTTTCTGTGTTATGATCCTTCAAATATAATTTTATGATTTATGACTTTTTACCGTACTTCCCATAAGCTGACACTGAGTTCAATGAATAAAGCGACAATATACCACAAGTTCAGCGAATTTCCTCTCCTCATACATAAACAAACAATGAGGTACAGTAGGACAAAATTTGAATAGCGCGAGACTCTTCCCATAATCTGTTCCGCGAATTGTATACATATTTCAACACCAACGAATTTTGAATAGAGATCATTTTCTGTAGAATGGGGTGTATAAACCGATTGAAATCATAAAATGGAACGATATATTCCTAATTCCACGCGCATTATTGGTTCACCCCGTCGCCATCCCCACCGAAGTTCGGCGAATTCGGCACATGGCGCTCGCCTTTCGTCGTTTTCTCTCGCACACTCTCGCTGCCCAGCATGACACTTTCGAAGATCTCACCGCCTCAGGCCACGCCCCTAATTTTAAGACCTTTTATAGGCAACAAATGGGGTGGAGAGAGTACAAACTTTTTTGATATAACACATCGGTGACAAAAATAAAA